ATTTTACATGCAGGTACTTCAAACTTTGTACTTTGAGTTAACATTAATAGGAACTGAAAAACGTTATTTAGGTAAGAAAATCAGGTATTTAAGATCAAAAATAGGTTTTACTTTACATTAAAAGGAGAAATTTCTTCCATAAAATGTACTCAGAGTACAAAAAAAAAAAAAAAAAAGATTTGTTCTACTGGGCTAGATATTTGATACATTGCCCAAGTATTTGGAGTAATAGCTTAAAAACAGGTGTAGTCTTAAAATAAGTATATATATTTTTATTATACGTTTCTTCCTTGCATTTATTAGCAAATCAGTGTGCATCCGTTTATTTACCATCAAGTCATGTGACCCATGATGCTTTCAGTGGAGGGGGGGAATATTCAACATTAGATAATTTTGTGGCAATAAAGGTTTTATGCAGTTTTGATCAACATCTCTTTTCATGGTTAGCCATAAGGAACTATAAATACTGCCTTACACTTAAATAATATATATATATATATATATATGTGTGTGTGTGTTAGGCATATTTAAATCTATTTAATATTATAATGTATTAATGAAGGTTTATTTTTCAGACACAATCGTTGGAATATAATATGCAAGTTTTGTTTATACTCATTGAGGGATAAAAGATGTGTCTTGAAAACAAATACTGAATTTCCTATTAAAAAATTCCATAAACTGGGTCCTAGCTAAAAACCCCCTTATGTAATCTTAAGGAAATTTGGCACCATATTCAGTAAGGGTTCACAGTACAATATGGTTCTAAAATTCTAAATCGGTTTGGGAATTACGTATAATTTAAGTTGTATCTCAGGAACACACAGAAACAAGATTAGAGTTTTAGTATTATACAGAATATATTTCAATGTCCAGTTGACAAATGATTGCATGTGTGTTTCCTGGTTCTGATGACATTTTGCCTTTCTTGGTAGATCTTTTGATGTTACAATGTGAGATTATTTAAGAATGATAAAAACAAATAAAGTGTATGGAAACTGAATGAAATCGGATAGGATGTGTGCGCAGGCATCTGATGCAAAAGAAATTTTTACATTCAAAAATTTCAAATTATATCTACTCCATGGCTACCCACATCCTGAAGGGACACAGCATACAAGAGACTATCTCCTGCTAAGCTGTATGACCAATAGATATGTCTACTAAGGGTTACATTTTGGGTACAATGGGTGAATACCACTATAAATATATAAATATATTTCAGATGAGGTATTATGTACACTATTTACATTATTCAGACTATTGTCCTCATCTTTGTCGCCATATTTATCACAACATTTCAGCCGTTGTATGCACCAGCCTTCTTCAGGTGGTTGGAATGTCAAACTGAACCTTTTATTTCACTCGCTGGACACATGCCTCAAGGACATATGGTACAGTGGCTAAAGGTGTTAGTTAGATCCAGTGACAAGAAACAGAGTGTGAATTCAATACCCGGCTAAGGCAGTGGAGAACTTGAAGAGGGGAATTAACAGGAGATAACTGACATCCATTAGACATGGCACATGGGACTAGAACAGCCTATCCCAGCGAACAAAAAGGGTTCAGTTCAACATTCCAACCACCTGAAGGCTGGAGTGTACAATGGCCAAAATTATGATAAATATGGCAAAGATGAGGATAAGAGTCCGATTAATATATATATAAAAAGTTATATTGTTCTTATATATATATATAAAATCCATTGGTATATAATCCAAGTGAATCCTAATAATATAAAATATTAAAACCGATTTATATAGAGCTCAATGTTTTACTGAAACAGAGCATATATATATATATATATATATATATATATATATATATATATATTAGCTGTCACTTACCTGAATTGGTTGCAAGACAATGCGACCCCCACGTTTATTTTGGTAAGCCATGAATTTTTCTGCATGTTCCCGTTCTTCATCTGAAGATTTCTTGAAGTATTTACAGAATCCTGGCAGAGCGACATCGTCACGATCAAAGTAGTAAGCCTGATGAGAAAGAACAAAGCAGACAATCAAGGCAGCCAAACAAATTGCCATTCAGATCTCATGTTCATAGAACACAATAATACCATTTCTATCACACCGTGTGGCTAGTGTAATGGGTAGCAGTTTGGAAGGAAAAACACAAGGAGCTCAAATTAAAGTTGGGATTATTACATTCTCTTTCATGCAAATAACTTTTGGAAAGATACAAATCCATCTCCATGCATGGGTTAAATTGTAAAAAAAAAAAAAAAAAAAAAAAGTTTTTCTTTTAAAATGAAAATAAATTTTTTTTTAACTTAATGCAATTTTCTTACAATTCAAAGTGTGTTTCAGTTTTAATCAACAAAGGGTTGATAAGCCATAAAAAAAAAATTGTTGGAGTTAGCTCCTCCTTAATTGCCTAATTGTTCACTAGGGGGTGCTCTCCCTACACTATAAATACTGGGTGACTCCTCGCATCGTTCTCTTATTCATTTTGCATTTCAGCATACACATTTGAAAATGTGATCTCAGAGATCCACGTCCTTCCATTTTCGATGGTACTGTTTCAGACAAAAAAATGCCATCTTTTGTTAAGGAACAAAAGATGGCATTTTTGTCTGAAGAAATTTTCTTACCAACTCCTAGGTTTAAGACCGGTGTTTCACACTTTTGTACTCCTTATTTTTCACCACCAAAAAGATCCCGATGCTTCCCATATCATTAATAAAAAACCTAACACTAAAAAAGTTTATTACTGCCTTTCTTTACCACTAACACTAATGCCCACTTCTGATGATGTGGTCCAATATTTCAAAATAGGTGTTGTGTCCACTAAAATATTAAATACAATTATTTATTCCTAATTGGCCCCAAAAAGCCATGTGGTATGTCTTCTACATCCGCACGATATTTGGGCGGTATCTACTTAAATCATGACTACGGCCTTGAATTACCCCTACATTAAACTCGGCCTTGTGCCACATCCAACCTCGTTTGAGAGATGGTGCTGGTAAATATCAACTAATAATACAACAAACTTTCCGATTTGTACTCTATGATTTTATATTGTGTTTTAAAGATGTATTTTCTTGAGTGTGATTAGCTGACATGACAAACTATAGGTATTATTTACAGAGTGGCTTACACTGGCTTAACTAACAGTCTCGACACTAAAAAATAAAGTTTATTTTTAAAAGCTAAGAAAATAAAAGAATTTTGCGCCGAAAATGACTAACAGACAAACACATGTTAATTTTAGCAACGTCTCCATCTCAATTTTATTTATCCCCCCCCCCCCCACAATGGGTTCGACTATTATTCGAGTCACACTCCACCCCGGTCTTTTGAACAAAAGTAGAGAGGTTTGATCTCTTGGTTCCTGTTTCTTGCCTTGTGGGGAGGTTGGTAAATAGATTTCCGGTTCTTTCTCAAACTTGAAGAAATGAAAATAAAATCGCTAAGTCTTTTTCATTCTCTTTTACTTCCAGTAAAAAAAAAAAAAATTTGTATCTTAGTGACATTATTGCCTTGCTTGGGGTGAATTGATTTAAAAAAAAAAAAAAAAAATGCACATTCTGAGCTTAATTTGAAAAATTCATTCATAAAAGGAATGAATTTTTGTAAAATGCAATAAATGAAAAATTTAATCCCAAAAATTCCTTCTTCACAAAGACGACAATAATTCTACGTTTTTGGTTTTCTACCTATTTTTTAGGATTTATTTACTGATAGGGGGGGGAAAACGATTGTGCATATTAGCATTCTTTAGAGGTCATAGGGTCGTGATAGTAGGCAGAATCGAGAAATATAGATTTTTTTTTTTTAAGGGTCCTTTTAACATCGATAGGGTGCAAAAGTCGATATACTGGACTAGTTTTTCGTGTAAGATAACAGATTGGGGGAGTTATGAAAAGATTTTTTTTTTTTTTTTTTAAATAAAAAAAAAAAAAAAAAACGAAATGAATTTTATTTATTTTTAATTAAAAAAAAAAAAAAAACAAAACACTCACAAAAAAGAAGCTCCGTTTATTCTGCATGTAAGGAAAAATGTAAAATCACAAAGTCAAATGTTTTTGAATGGGCTCCGAGTGAAAAAGTGGAGGAAGTTAAGAAAAAAAACCAAAAAAACCACGGACTTTTATGCAGATATCAATTATGTTTTTTAGTTTCCTTTGCAGTCTTTCAAACGTGACATTTGTGATTTTTATCCTGAAGAGTGAAAGACCAATAACTAACACTAACAGAAAGTTAGGGACTGATATTTTTTTTTGACACTATCGACATTATGAAGGGCATCTTTTCTAAAAAAAATAAAAAAGGAATAATTCGATATTCCGACACGGCCTAAGAAAAATTATCTCCACAAATTTTCCTATGTAATGCTCTCTCTCTGAGAGTCTAAATGAATTCCTTTCAAACAATTGAATTTAGAATGCATTCAAGTTTATGTGAGAAAATAGTTTAATAATATTTGCCATATAAAGACAAGGATAACATCGTAAATATTGTCAGGTACGGAACGAATTGTCAACAATGAAGTTTTTTTTTTTTTAAATAAAAACAGTAATGAAAAACTAAAAGAAAGTGAAAGTTAAAAATGGCGAATAAGACACACCACGTGGGAAATTCGAAGTGTTTCATTTTCAACGTTAAAGAAAATTCAGTTTTAAAATTCTTTAAATAAAAAAAAAAAAAAAAAAAGGTGAGGTAGGGAGTTCAAAACATTTTTCTGACTGCCTTAGTTTCAAGAATTTGCTTGGGTGTTGGGGCATTTCGCGAAATAAATGATTAAAAAAAAAATGTTTATTTCTTTGTGTGAAAGGGGGGGGGAAAAAAAAAAAAACCCTTTTCCACTGACAGTGTCAGAAACAAAAAAAAAAAAAAAAAAAAAAAAGGGGGGGGATTGGATTTATTCCCCGACATTGTTAAAAGTTTAGTTCACTTAACTCTCTAGTAATGAGAAAGACCGGGGGGCTACTGGAAAGCATTGACGAGGTCAACAGGTGCGCTTGTTAATAACAAATAAGAAGTTCATTCTTTGATTAGTTTTTTTTAAAGGAAGCAACAACAAATATTCGTTAGCTTTTTTCTATCCGCCATTTCCAAAGCAGATTTTTTTTTGTTAGTTAACAATTATGGTGTGATCTTTGAAATCGCCATTTTTGCGATAGACACACTTACTACTAACCATGAATCAGAAAATTCTTTTGTGATTATTAAGGTTTATTCCCAAATTAATAAGGTTTAAAATAAAACTAAACTTCATACAATTTAAAATAAAAGAAGGCCGTTAAGTTGGGAAATTTTTAAGTGAATACCGCGATATAAATAAACATTTGAGTGCGAATACAATTTATTTAATTTACCGGACACACTTTTTTTTTTAGGAAAGCACTACACTACAGTGAAAATAATTCTGTATTTTTTTTCTATTTTACCAAAACAATTATATTCAAAAAGAAATTTAAAATAAGTAAGGCAATCTTAGCCTGGTCATACGAAATTTAATTATTTCATTTATAAAATAAAGTGCCATAAATAAAAGACTAAAACAAAAAAAAATCGCTACTATTTTTCTTAAGCGCACCCGGTAAACACCAAGTCACTACACTTCACCAGAATGACCGGAGCTGAGGCTTTTATCAAACACAAAAAAGGAGCCTAAACTGATATGTTAATATATAAACTTCTTTAAAACACTTACCATCGACTGATAGACATAACTGGCATATAATTCCATGTTTATTTGTTTGTTAATAGCCGCTTCACATTCTGGATGATAATTTTGCCTTGCAAGACTCATTTTCCTTGCTCCAAGAAGAAACACCCCAAAAATTGTCCAAACGCTTTTTTTACCCCTTTTAAAATCTCAACCTTGAAGATAGATAGGCTCCTTAATATTCTTGAAATCAGCAAAAAAAAAAAAAAATGTTAATAAATCCTACCGAGCCTCCAAGAATGAAAAACACAAAAAATTTCCAATATTTACACTTGTATATAGTTTTAGGGTTTATAAGAGAGTCAGGGGGAGACTACTTCCAGTTATGCCACTGCGCATGTGCAACAGACTGAATATTACTTTTGACACACTTCCGCTTTTGCGTTGGTGGGGGCACCTAGCAGGGAAGATGATGATGATGATAGCTAAAAACCCACGGGTGCATCCGCCCCAGCCCACACCAGGCAGTACCTCACTTCGAAAGCGGGGCTGGGTTTATTGCCTGGTGCCTCCCAAAGGGGAAGTACTGAGGGGGCTTAGACAGTTTTCCCACGGCATTGTCGTTAAATTACGACCTTGTGTCACATTCGATAGCGACGTGATGGGCGCGCTGAAAAATATACAAGCAGTACCTCTCCTTCGGGAGGGGGTCATCACCCGGTGTCCCCAAAAAGGGAAGTGCCAAGAGGACTTGAGCAATTTTTCTCCGGCTTTCTTTGCCAATAGCTCACATTAATATAAATCTTCGTCTTTGTATCAGGTACTGTTGCAGCGTGAGCACGCGGATAAATACGTAAACACCTCATTCCGCTTTGAAAACACATCTAGAAATTTTCATAATTTTTTTTCAGCTGTTATTGCCGATTATGTACTCTATATAGTGAAATGGTTAGTGAGTTTCGATGGTCATCGGGAGTGTGTTCAAAATGCCTACTAGATATCTCATTCTTAGTGGCCTTGTGTCAGATCTAAGTTACAGTTATTTCGAGATTATTTCATGTCTGTGAAAGTAAGCAGAATGTAAACAAACTCTTGCGAAACTTGAACTTATGTAGCTTTGCAGCTCAGCCCAGACACCACATTCGTTCTCAGAGTGCAACTTCTTCCAGTTAAATGCGTGTAACTTAAAAATAACCCCTCGGCTAGATTGTCACCTATGGATTAAAACTATGAAACTTTCGTAGCAGTAAGCAACTTTTATTTTCTGGTTCTAACTTACTGCTATAGACGAACGAAGCAGAGAAGTGAATGAGGGAAAGGTTAACAGTCTAAAAGGTGTCTTCCTTTCGCGTGGATCCTGTCTTCGGCTGGTCGTGATCACTGTCTTATAGAGACATTTTTCTTTGTCTTGTCATCTTTATCTAAAAATGTAATTTATCTTCATTCAGTGACCCTCTTTGTCAGGGCCGCTTGCTATATCACTTGTGAAGTCCACTTCACTTCACTTAGCTGATAATCATCAGGAAAATAAATGTCTGAAACCATTTTTGTGACAAGTTCAATGTTTCCACTATTTACATTATTCGGACGTTTGTCCTTTGTCGCCATATTTATTACAACGTTTCGACCGTTGTACGCTCCGGCCTTCTTCAGGTGGTTGGAATGTCAAACTGAACCCTTTATTTCGTTCACTGGGGTAGACTGTTCTAGTTCAGTTATCAGTTTTCTTCTGTTAATTCCCACTTCCAAGTTCTCCACTGCCTTAACCGGTCCTGTCACTGGGTCTCACCAACGCCTTTATCCACTGTGCCCTATGTCCTTGAGGACATCTATGTATGAATTTCTGGGTATTATAAACCTAATGTCTTCAGCAACCATTTTTTTTACCAGTGCTTATATTGCAATTTTTGCTGTTATCGTTGCATGATTTTACCAGAGCTTATATTGCAATTTTTGTTGTTATTATCGCTTTTTTTCTAGCACTCCTTATTACTGGTTCCCATATTGTATTCATTTCTATGCTTGGTCGGCTCGTTTAAGAAGATATCGGCTGACATTGATATTGCTACACGCGCACCCTATGTGATTTCATCGTAAATATGTCATTGCATAGCTCTAATAAACAATTATTTTAGTATCAATAGAAAAGGCCAGATTCCAGCTAAAAGTTTTTGATTCAGCTAACAAAATCCAGATAAGTTGCTTTCTTACATTTATAGACCAATTAGAATGACTCGTAAAGCAGCTTATCTGATACAGCTTACTTTTATATAAGAAATGCTGTTCACCTGTAAAGTCAGAGTTGAATTCATTCGTCCGTCTATTCGAGTTGTAGACACGCGCCCGCTTTTATACACTCTCTTACCGAATGCAAAGAGAGTCAACTATCCACTTTGCAACCTACACACATACACTCACAGCATTAGAATGATTTCATTTATTCAGTGTCTGTAATTTCTTGCTCAATAAGAAATATACATTTCAATTTATACTGTCGTCAAAAACGAAGGTTTTTGTATGTTTTTATACTTGACCCATGAGCCACTCAAAGTAGAGTGTTACTGAAGGAAGTTGTTATATGAACGGTAAGAGTAAGAGGTAAGTTAACGGTTAATGCAGTTGATGGGGACAGGTGGGAATGTTGCATAGCCCTTTCGTTCTGGGGAGGTCTTTTAGTTGACGGGAGTCAATTCCATAATGTTGTATCTTCTCTCGCTCGTTTTCTCCCGGTCGCTGATCGCTGGTGTTTTTTTTTTTTTTTTTTTTTTTTTGTTCGGCAATAAATGAGAACTTCAACCAAAGGAATTTTAAACTTATGTATTTTATTAAACACGTCGACGTGTACATTTTCAACTGGCCAGTGGGGTCGCTGTATCACCTCCCACTGGGAAGCAAGTTCCCCGACACGAAACAACACGTCTACATTTTTCGACGTCTAAAAACTTAACTCCCTGAAATCCCTTTCTATTTCTAACATTCCCACGCTAGTTATAACCAATAAAAAACGAATTCCACTGTTTTCCTGCATCTGACCTCAAAGGTCAAAATGAGAAAATCAAAGGAGAATGCAATTCTCTAAAAAATAATAGTCTGTTAGACTATTATTTAACAGGAAAGGTAACGGCTTGAACAGGTTAAGAGTGTAGTGGTCGAAAAAGTAAGCTTTCTAAAGTCTGTTCCGCAAAGGTTGTTGGGAAGAAGCTGTTCGAGTGGAAATTCCCTTCTTAAAGAAATACGAAGGGGATGTGAATCGTTCGTCCCAGTGTATGTGAAAGGTTTTAACTGTAAAGGGTATAACAGGAGAAATGTAGCTCGTCCGAACATCTCACATGAAAATAGCGATAGAGTATTGAGTGGCTTATCTGCGCACCCCTCCTTCCGTCAACGGTTGCCTCAAACCTTTACGCTTTCTCTTTTCTTCATCGTCGTTGCTACCCTTTGAGCAACGACCTAACGCTTTCAACGTTAAGGCACTTGACCGTTTTGAATTGACACCCTTGTGGTTTGCCGGTTGGCATTTGCCGCTAGTCGAAGGTCGCGTGACTTATCGTATCTCCTGCAAAGAAGTATCCACGTGCGGACAGACGATCTGCGGGCATCGAGTCGAGAAGACGCGTTTCCCGTCTATCTCTTCGCCATACGACTTAAACATCTAGACTTCGGTAATAGACCTTTTATATAGTCAAATTCTTTGCCTGAAGCTACCTTCTCCATCCTTGACTCGATCCCAACCCAACCTTGCAACTTTCCTACATAATACGAGATTCTCTTCCAAAAAAAAAAGAAAGAAAAGCAACAGGCATTTGTCACGAACTCTTCCAGAATCTCCACTTGTCAACTACAGTGATAGCGAAAGTTCAAGTTCTACGTACTTACATCCATTTCCGTCGAAATATCGTCGCACGTAAGAGAATTCATTTTTCTATCAACACTTAACTGTTCTTTTACTGTTAACCCATCGACGGCAGGCAACCTAGCATCTTTTAAACAACTGTTGTCACAGTATCAAGCGAACCTTACCTCTCATCCAAAGCAACAAGTTAAGAACCCACAAGGCTCCACACGTGGTACTTGTATTTTCTGGATCTTTCCCTTGGTCTATACGTCATTCTATATTGACGAGCATTTCTCTTGCAACTTATAAACTCTGTGATTCTATCCTGGTCGAATTCATGTCGGAGTCTCATAACCTACCGTGTTAATCTGTTTTTAGGTCGCCATTGATTATTCTTTAACAAGTTACCTCCCTTGTACCGTTTATTAAAAAAAAGAAGATTCTTACAATTAATCTTTCCAAAGTCTCCAGCTCCTTCTTCTTCAGGAACATTTGGTGCCAACCATTACAATTTGGCGCGCAATAACGTTCAACCTTAACATCAACCGCACGCTTCACAGATTCACCAGACCTTCTATCCAGAAACCAGGAACTCAACAGCACATTCTTTCCTCATTCATCATTGTCAGTTTGTTATTAAATAAGCATATTTGTTATGCCTTTCATACACTGTTCGTGTTTGTCCATTCTCTACCATTGCTAACCATGTCAAGAACCGTTGATATCCTGAAAGAGTATCAACTACGCTTGTATGTGGGTGTCTGGTGGTCTGACACAAGGCCATAAAAAAGGAAACCACACTAGGCGACCAGGCCTCCACTAGAGGCTCGACACATTTCGCCTATGGGGAAAAGGGTTGTAGGATGGAAAACAATCACCCACAAGACACTTTTGAACTCTCTCAAGACTGAAAAGGGAAAACTGGGAGGATTCAGACCAGATATGGCACCAGTACTCTATTTACGGTTTGATCTGATTCAAATATCGAGATTTTATTCAAACTGTCAGCCTTCTTAGAGGTCAGGGCTTTTTTTTTAATGATAGAGATATTACATCGCCGATCGGATACCGAACAACCACTAGTCACGATTAATTGGTGTCCTCTCGGGGATGCCCTATACCTTGAGCAACTATTGAGCCTTAAACTCAAACCAAACCTCAAATGGAACCCATACATACGATCCATTGCTAAAGATGCTGGAAAAATGGTCGG